GACCACGCGAGAGCGTTTGCCCCATGCAATATCAGGGACAGACTGCAAAGCAAATTTTTTCATCAGAAGAGGAACTTCATAAGCAAAAATTTAACCCTAAAGTAATTAACGTACAAATCAATTCAGACCTTCTAACAAAATAGAGGAGTAGAAAACAACCGGATGTAAAAGAAATATGGGAAACAGAACGATTATATATTAAAACACCAATCCAATAACATCTGAATACCAACCTCTTGAATGAAATCGATGTAATGAAGAGCACCATGCTTGAATTGGGTTCCTCCACCAGGAAAAGTTAGATACTCACCGGTAACTTTAACCCAATTTTGATGCCCCTTATATTCAGCAAGCTTGGTATGAGGTACGTTGGAGTACCAGATCTGCATAAATGAAAAAAAATTGTATTAACTTTTTTGCAGATATATATATAAATGGGAGAGTAAACGAATTCAGCAGACCTTTTCTCGACTTTTGGGCCACTCAATTGGCCGCTTGTATCCTTCAGGCAAAGGAACTAGGCAGGTGGGTGGGCTGTCTGGGCAATGCCTCTCACGATGCTCATAATGTTTAGTACTCTTAAGACTCTTAATGGCTTGCACATTGTCGAGACAGGGAATGTAATCCGGTCCTGCAGTTGTATTGCAGAGTGTCCATTTGAAATCGATTTGATCCCCAGAACCTTTCTGAGCTTCTTTCTCATTTTTGGACTCTGTTGCCTGGGTTGAAAATGAACCATTTTGTGCTATAGTTTCCTTCTGTAGCTCCAGCTGTGCCCCAGGAGGCGAAAGATCACCCGAGCTTTCGTTTTTAGGCTGACTCTCTTGCTCTACTTGAACATCCACATTTGTCTCGGTATTTTCCTTCTCAGTCTTGGCTTCACTATCTTCATTGCCTGTCTTGGTTTCTTTATCATCATTGTCACTTTTTGCTTCTGTATCATCGTCACTGGATTTTTTCTCACTGTTATCAGACTCAAATTTCCTTTGGTTTTCACCATCCTCGCCGGACTCATTGTCTTCTGTTTCTGGTTTAGTTTGCTTTTCATTCGAGTCAGGGTTTTCTTCATCTGGATTTTCTTTCAAATCTTTTTTCTCATCTGAATCACTTCCACCACTGTTTTCTGACTTGGATTCATCGTTCTTATTTTCCCCACTTTCAGTCTCGCTTTTTGTCTCACCAGATGAAGTAGACTCTTCTTTAGTTTTCTCTTCTTTCTTCTCATCCTGTTCCTCATATTTGTTCGAGCTCTCATCCTCTTGTCGCAAGCTTGCATCACCATCTCCTTTTTTATCCTCATTCGGTGTTTCGCCAGACGCATCTTCAGACTTCGGGTTACTCCCCTCCTCTGCAGCAGGTGGGGTCATCTGTCTCTTTATCCCATCTTTGTTGTCCAGAGTATCCACATCAACATTCTGAGCCGGTCCAACAGAAGACGATGTCATCATCCAGATCCCGACTAAACATAGAGCCACAAACACAACTACTGTCACTGTTGAGCAGTAATTTGATGATGGCCTCCTGTTATCTATCCTAGTGTACCTTGGTTGCGCCATGGTGGTTCTTATTTGAGTAACAAATGATAACAATGCGTTTACGCCTACACGGAAACAACGAAACGGATATTAGGCGAGCAATATGATCTATATCTATATGAGCTAACAATACAAGTCTAGAAAGCTTAATTGGTGAGGCCATGCGCATGATTAGAATTCTGGATAAGAGCAAAACTAACAAAGATCGAGTTGAGAGATGCAACACAAATCGTAAGCAAAAAGTAATATCACCAGATCTGCTTAAACCCTCGCGATTACAGATAAGGTAATCATGTAACTTAACGACGCTGCAAAATCACATT